GATTCTCCAGAGTTCAAGTTACTTATTATAAAAGTTTGAAATTTCTGGTAGCTTTTTTTCTGTTAATAAAAATAAATTTAATCTGTTCGGTTAACGAATCTCCATAAAATGACGTGTAAAATTACAATTTTTTAAAGTTTCAATAACTTTTTAACGGTTTAGTTAATCGATTTGTAATATTTACAGGAGTTTTAGAAGTAAATGAGGAACGTTCTTCCAAATTCTTGTTTGTCTCGTAGCATTTTGACATGTCTCCCAAACATCCTTAAAACAAGTGAAACATTTATATTAATGGTGCTTAAAATCAGAGACTCCGATTCGATTCTTGACAATAGCAACAACTTTTCCTTATTAATTAATTCAAAAATTAATTTACTTTAATGTATTAAAACTAAAATATAAACCATGTGGTAGCTTACAAATTTAAACATGTCATTTATAAGTACGTACTAGTAGCCCACTAATATGGTTCATATGATTTGTGCCTAATAATTCACTGTCATTTGAACACTCCATCACCATCATCGCGTCTTTTCATTTTGCATAACCCAATTTTGTGAATCTGTAAGTGGCAATAAATATTCCCAAGACCTCCGTGTCCATAATGCACCATCGATCAATTTCTAACCTTGCAGGTACTACTTGAGAGAAAATTTTAAGTTTGATATAAAAGTTATTCTCGCGGCTTTTAACTCAATTCCAGCTGCCTGCACTGGGGCGTCATAGTTCGTGTTTTTAAATTGGATCTAAAATTGCAATCACCTTTGAATTTTTGTGTCGTGTCTGCTGCTGCATATAGGATCTTTTAGCAAACATTGTATAAAGGAAATGAAATTGAATTAGGGAAATGAACAAACGGTGTGGTTCTTTAATTTAATGTTTGGAGCCATTTTCTGGGCATCCATCTGGAAAAATTCATGATATTCGGTAAAACGTATTCTTTCGGTGTTGATTTTTACGGAATGCAGCAAAATTGAACCCTTCAGGCTAATCTGTTCGTTTGTTTCCATCAAATCACAAATGCAATATTTTAGTGAGTCGAGCGTAAAGCTTTGGTCACAATCTAGTTTGCTATACAAAGTTATTACTCTTTTGATCATAAAATGTGATAAGGTCGAATTTCCGTTATTGTACGCTGTAAACCCTTTCATCATATTTGCTTCAAGCAGTGTAAAGTCAATAAAATCAGCAAGGAATACGAAAAGCTTCAAAAAAGAATTGAACGTTAACGCAACAATTGTTTTGTCAATGGATTCATCAGACGGAAGAAAAATGTATAAAAAGTTTACATTGTAATGAGATAAGAACGAAGTTTTGAAGTAAAAAGGAGTTTTGCTTACAAATTCATTGGATCATTTGATACAATATGTCAGTTTGACTATTGTATATCTTACTTCGATCCTTGAATTTTAGCATGTGGCCTGTCGATTAATCTTTGGCAATTGTGGTAGCTAAATCTGGAAGAATATGCATCCTTTAACACTAAATAGAGTGTCATTTGTTTAAAATGCCGTAGGTGACAGTATGTTATAGTTCTTCTAGTTGTAAACTTTCAGTAAATCTATAACAATTAACACCAAAACTGAAAGTAAGTTTTTCATCAGTGTCAATGTTAAAAATTGCCACTTATTTTAATTGAATTGATAGTGAGGTAGACCCAGTTAAGAAAATGCCTTTCTTTGTGTGGAAAACTTGCAAAGATACCAAAATGCAGATAGAATTTTTGTTTTATGGACTTTTAGAAACTAACGCTTTTAAGAGTATCTACAGCAAATCAGAAAATTGGATTTTTTAATAATATCTATTGATAATTTTTACACTTAAAATATACGTTCCTGTTTTTTAATGACCAAATTTTATGTTTACTGATGACAACTTTAGTGTAATTTCCTGTAGAGGGCATGCTTCATTTATTGTGCTGTAATTTTATTGTACTCCACTTCACACAAACGTAACACTTGTTGACTGAAGAATCTCATCGTCTAACAGATAACAAAACAATTGATAAGATCGAAAGTCAAGCACAATGTTCCATTCTCTTTTAAGAGTAAAATTGTACAGTACAACCGTGGCAATCATCGCGTCGTAGTCCGTAGGTCGTGTTCCTGATTCGCCGGTTTGTGTTTGTATATTATTAATTAATATTTAATTAGACGGATTTAATTTGATCTGGTGCAGTTTTGAATAATGCAATGTTTCGCGTCGGTTTTTCGCTGTTTGTGGAACTTCAGAAAGTGGTAACTGTTAGTTGAAGTGGAAAACGGTTGCAGCAGCAGCAGCAGCAGCAGCATACGGTTGTTTTCCTCGTGCTTTGTAAGCACATTAACTGTCGTTCATGACACTAGCGCAAATACCGCATTTCGAATGGATGTAATTGTAACCGTAGAACAACAATTTCCTGTCAGAGGTCCGGATAAAGAGCATGAACAAATCTATGCTTGTTGGAGAGGTCGTAAATTGCAAACGGAATACTTTAAAATACGTTAGAGGTAGGTGTTTTTTATCCCTAGCTTTATATACCCATAGCTTAGTACATATTGAGACATCACCAGCATCGTCTTCGGTCATTAAGAAAATAAATAAAATATAGTAGCTTATCAACAGGAACAAATGAAGTAAAGTCAAGAGTGAAATCACCGACGTTAGACTTTAGGATAATAAAATTTCTTTAGGGCTATTGGGATCCGTCAAATAGGAGGAGCCTAAAAACATGGCGCCGATTAGGGAAAATTTATCGTAGTTCCTATAGTGTACCGTGCAATTTCCAAGTTTTTAAATTACGATAAAATGATAAGTATTGACACAATATGTGATTGGGCTGACACAAAGCCTCGGAAAGGAAATTTCGTTGANTTAACGAGTCTAAAATAGAACCAAGTGTATAGTTATATTAAATTTCATCAATAAACTTCAATTTATTTATTTATCTTTACTGTTACAAATAGCAACAAGCATTCACATCTGATGAACTCAATATGTGTGAAAATAGATATCCAAGTACTCAGTAATTGAAGGTGAAATTATTCAAAATTCACCATCTTTTTTTCATTAAAGCAGAGTCAAACATTATCATAGCAGAGCTGATGAAAGTTTTGGAACAAGAGTTTTTGGCGAAGTGGAGCAACGTTTTGAAAAATAATTCAAATGACAAGATAATGAGATTTGAATTCATGAACCTTCAAACATCTCCTGTAGGTACGGTATAACATGAACTCTAAAACTTAATGGAAATAGGCTTGTTCATACGACCTAAAGAAAGTCATTAATTGTATACCTAATATAGTACTTAGTTATATTTTATTTTTATCCATGCACTTTCAGTTCCGAAGGGGAAGGTCCATACATACTCCCTTAACATCCTCCTTGATTATTACGCCTTCAACCACACACACCGCTTTATAGCGGGTTATATTGGTTGATTAGAAATCGTCTTCTATCGAACGTGTTGAAATACCTTTCGAAGTCTTAATTGTGTGTAGATATGTATCAAATTGTGTATAGGCATGTATCATATTAGTATGTAAGTAATTTTTCCCTATCGCGACATTGACGTAAAACGTTTTTACTTTTTACTGTGTCATTTAAAGGAACTATCGCCGTTAGTGTAAATTGTTTTAATATATCATAATCATAAGATCGTCAGTCCTAAGACTTCATCAGACTTAATCGGTCACTTCTTCTAATTTTTCGTCTCATATCTTTATATATCTGTTTCTTCCCTTCCACAAAACTCCATCTGATTTTCCTCTTGCTGCGACTTTCTTAAAACTAGTCCCGACTATTGTTGCAAAAATCCTTTTATAACGTTTCACGAACTGTTGCTTTTCCAACTTGAAACTAAGTAGGATAATGGAAGAGTAAACGATCATTATATTCGAAAAATAACCAGGGTTTTCCGAATCCTTCGCAAATGTAGTCCTCTATTATCCATATTCTCTCGGATTTCACAAACCGCTTCGGATCACAATTGTAAAATAAACTCTTTTCACCAACTCCATCTTAGCTGACGACGTCGTTATCGAAAGAATATCTGTTAAATTGAAATGGCATATTTCAAGTTATACGCACCTATTCACTATTCTTATTTTATGTACCTACTAATATGTATTACAGTTTGATACAATGATTCGCTACTAATAAATACATTGTGTCTACTCTACTGACTTCAATGTGTAAAGGATTTGGCACAATTTCTCATCACCATAAGGTCGTCAGTCCTTACTTAGATTGGTTGCACACGTACCGCCACTCTTTCCTATCCTTAGCCAATCTTCGTATTATCCTAAAACTAGAAAAAAAAAACTTTTGGGTGTTTCATTCCCACCAGCCAGTAATGCTGGTGGGCGGGCAGTCCCTTCGGACTATGCCGGAAGGTAGGGCGGAAGGCCCTCTTCAGCCTTCTTTCAGGAATCGTGGGAATGGGTGGGTGGTGGTTCGGGTGAGAAAGATGAGACGGACGAAATGAAGACAGAAGAAAGTGAAAGATTTTCTGTGGAATATTACTGCCTCAGCATTTGCCTAAGTGATCCAAGGAAACCACAGAAAAACTTGGACCAAGGCAGACGGACCCGGAATCGAACCGGCATCCTCCCGAATGCTAAGCAATGGTCTAGACCTCTAGGCCATGCCGCTCGGTCTAAAACTAGAACATCCTACATCCTTAACTATTTCTGAACAGTAATCTTATCTAGGTCTACCTCTATTCCCCTTAACTCCTGTTTCTGCCTCTCATATGTAAGTAGACCTTTCTACCTGACGAGAAGGTGTCTTACCAACTTATCTCGTCTATTTCTTATTGACTTCCGAGAAGGTGTCTTACCAACTTATCTCGTCTATTTCTTATTGACTTCCATAGTCCTCTGTTCTCTTACTCTTTTTAATACCTCTTCATTTCCAACCTTCTCTATGCACAGTATTCTCATCATTCGCCTATAGCAGCACATTTCAAACGCTTCTAACCTTTTCTTTTCCGCCGCGCCTACTGTCCATGTTTCGCACCCGTTCAGCGCCGCGCTCCAAACATACACCTTTAATCTCTTTTGAATTTCTAAATTAACCGTTCGGGAGCATAGAAGTGACTTCTTTTTATTAAAGGCGACACAACCCTGGGTTATCCTCTGCTTTATATCCTTATGCACAATTTCTAACTGTTATAAAATAATGTACTTACCGATCTTAATAATGGTGTGAATGTGTATATCTAACCTGTAAAATCACAAATTTTAGTTTTATCCTGATGAACCTGGTCAGGACTTCAGAACAAATTTATCAAATTATTGTATTTCTGATGATCTCTTATACGTATTTAGAATATCAATATTAACCAAGCCACAGGTAAAAGCTTATAATAAATAAAAAAAAATTAATTTATTAACGAGTCTAAAATAGAACCAAGTGTATAGTTATATTAAATTTCATCAATAAACTTCAATTTATTTATTTATCTTTACTGTTACAAATAGCAACAAGCATTCACATCTGATGAACTCAATATGTGTGAAAATAGATATCCAAGTACTCAGTAATTGAAGGTGAAATTATTCAAAATTCACCATCTTTTTTTCATTAAAGCAGAGTCAAACATTATCATAGCAGAGCTGATGAAAGTTTTGGAACAAGAGTTTTTGGCGAAGTGGAGCAACGTTTTGAAAAATAATTCAAATGACAAGATAATGAGATTTGAATTCATGAACCTTCAAACATCTCCTGTAGGTACGGTATAACATGAACTCTAAAACTTAATGGAAATAGGCTTGTTCATACGACCTAAAGAAAGTCATTAATTGTATACCTAATATAGTACTTAGTTATATTTTATTTTTATCCATGCACTTTCAATTCCGAAGGGGAAGGTCCATACATACTCCCTTAACATCCTCCTTGATTATTACGCCTTCAACCACACACACCGCTTTATAGCGGGTTATATTGGTTGATTAGAAATCGTCTTCTATCGAACGTGTTGAAATACCTTTCGAAGTCTTAATTGTGTGTAGATATGTATCAAATTGTAATTTTTCCCTATCGCGACATTGACGTAAAACGTTTTTACTTTTTACTGTGTCATTTAAAGGAACTATCGCCGTTAGTGTAAATTGTTTTAATATATCATAATCATAAGATCGTCAGTCCTAAGACTTCATCAGACTTAATCGGTCACTTCTTCTAATTTTTCGTCTCATATCTTTATATATCTGTTTCTTCCCTTGCATACCAGTATTTTTGTTTTACTTTTATTAATATAAGGCTATCTCTAACTCTAACTCCTCCTTCTTGCTAGATGCTAATGCTGCTATATCATCTACAAATCTAAGCATACTAATCCTTTGCCCCTGTATATCTACCCCTACAATTGTCCTGTCTTTAATTATGTTAATCGCGTCTTCGATGTGTAGATTAGAAAGTGGCGGTAACATATGTGCATCCTTGACTGACTCTCTTCCTAATATTTAGTTCGCTAATTTTAATGTATATGCAATATTTTTATTATAGCCTTGTATAATATAAATAGTTGCAACGACATTTGACAATACGCCTGCGTACGAGTGCTTTCAGGTACAACATTTGAACGCTTTGAATACAAACGACACAGTGCAGCAACGGGCGCTCTGCGAATTAAACCGCGAACACAGTGTGCGTCCCGACGTCCGACGACGGTCGCCGCGACGCTAGGTACACTACACATACACAACGGGTCCGTGTCGTATAGTTGTAGATCCGACCTCGGCCACGGAAATAACGCGATACTCATTGCATATTCCAATCCGCACTCATAATTTTGCCAAAAACTCTTAGTTACATAAGTGCCATCAGTTGTCCCCCGTAAAATAACAATTTTTGTTCCGTTGTGATTCCTATTGTTCTTATTTGAATTGTTTTTGTTAATGTTTAAAGTGACGCTGAAGAACTCGTGCAATCAAACAGCGCAACGGTGATCTACTGTTAGCTTTTATTTGAGGTAATATGTACTTACTTGTTAGATTTTTAGTTAAGTTACAAACAATCTACAGGGTGATACAATACAGTTAACTTTTAATTTTCAGCCGATAACTTTTTAGTTATATTAAGTCACTTAACACACTATTTGTCAAAATGTTTTAGAAACACTAATAGTATTTAATAATGTTTAACAATTCCCTTAATTAACCTAAAACAACAACCATTTATAAAACAAAATAATTTTCTGTTTCTAGTCTGTTTTGTTAACAGAAAAGTCTTTTCAGCTGGAACACCCTGTGTATTGTCATTCCACAAGTCGACAGCTATAGAATGTTTCTATTTATTATTAATGTTAAACATGTAACAATTCAATATGTGAAGGTTCCTATGTATTTTTTACTCTGCTTTTTAAAAATTAGTATTCTATTCTAAGTCTAAAACCTATTAAATTGTTAATTCACCGTAATTCTTAAATGTCGGATTTCGTTTTGAGTCGTCTTCATCATCAGTTTTGTAGAATGTGATCTCAAGAGTTTCTAGTTGGTTTTAAATTAAATTAAACTATTTTCCAATTTATCAATTTTTTCGAAGATGTCAACGATAAACTTTTGCGAAAATCGGCTCGAAATAAGAAGGAAGCGTTTAGACTGAAAACTTTATGATAAGATGTCAAAGGCGTCTTTTTTAATAAAATGTCAAACACAGGTGTCTTAATAGGGTACTGATTTGAATTTTGTTGTAAGCCTGGTAATCTTTTCAATGCCAGTCGAGAAAATTTTCACCCTATCCTTGTATATCGACGTATAAAGATCAAGATGGACCTAATATGTTCGGGTTGTATTTTTTGCTCTTCGACCAAAGATCCTGCTTTTATGTAATCCCTTTCATTAAACAATAATGTGATCGAAAAGGTTTTCCATTATGATTGGAAATTCGGTAGAAAGTATGGTAATTTCAGTTAAAAGTAGTAATAAGGACAACGCACGAACATACTTATCTATTATTTTATCGCGTAATATAAAATTACAGCTTAGGTATAGACTGTAGTTTACGCCTGTATGGCAGCCACTTTAAAGCTATCATTACTTCGTGTTTCTCTTTCCATTTTATACCTGTCGAATATCGTCTTGTTCGTTCGTACTATCAAATTTGAATAACGCCAACGTACATTTCCTTTTACCATAAACCACATACTTACGTATGTACATAGAAATAAGAGCCGTGCTGAGATAAAAATAAAACCATAAAGGATCGCTTTTCCACAAATCCATTTTTTAAGACGTGGAATCATTATCAGTTAGGCACAAAGAAATATTCTATCAAATTATACTCGTACAGTGAATATTATTGTCAACTGTACACAAAATGTACCTGTGTTGGTCTATTGCGTGAGCGTAATTTCATTCTTTTATGTTTCCTTTATTATTATTGATGTCAGGTACCTATAGTGAAAAATGTACACATAAATACAGTAACCAATTCCAGGAATTACCACTAGGAATTGTCATTTCTACACGCAAATTTCTCATTAACAACAAATGTATGCTCTGTTTCAATAAAAAACTACCCTGTCTATTAACAATTTGAATTTCCTTGAAAGAGAAGAAGTTTTTAATTTTTATTGCAGCTCTATTTTATTTAAATACGAAGTTAAAAACACGGCTTTACTATTCTACAACTGAAGAAGTCACAGTAGAGCGAAATGGTATTGGACTTAAGACTAACACCATTATCTTTGAAATGATTTAAGATATCATGATGGAACTAACCCTTAAATTAATTACAAAGTTACCGCATCTAAATCACCCTGCGTTAGTTTAATATTAGTTTTATCCAAACCCTTGGCAATAGTGCCCCTTAATGTGTGAATAGCTCCCATAAAAACAGGATTTCCCATTAAAAAACTGTTATTGTTTACCTATTGTGACCCAATTTACACATTGATTTATATCGTAAAAGATAGTTTCACCCTAATTAGATTGTGAAACTCAGCAAAATATTGAATTCGGTAATGAAATAAAGGACAGTTTGACTTTTTGGCAGATATTTTGTACAACACGTGTTTATTTTAAATAAAATTTTCCGCCCACCTGCTTTGTTAAAAGAATACGTTACGTTGAAAAAGGTTTGTTGAAAATTCACCTGTTAACAACTACAATACTACTCAGGCAGTTGTAACAAATTATTCTTTGTGAATTGTGATGTATCAAGGCTTTCCGAGCTTTGACAATGACAAAGTAACAATTTAATGAATGTAATTTTCACTGTTTCGTTCCAACGTTTTTATCCAGTCTTTATATTAATTTTGTAGGCAGGACGAGTGTGGAGAGTTTAGTACAATTCTTATAAAAACTGAAAAGTCGAAACAATTGTTAGAATTTTATTAATAAATGTATTTAAGAAAATTCAACTTAGTTTGCTGTATACAACATAAAATTATGCAGGTCTGATAAGAGTTCATGTTAATTTGCATGTTTAATATAAAATGTTTTCGTAATGATGTCGAAATTTTGATGAATTTTTCTTCCCCTAGATAACATGGATCATACTTTGTACAATTCAGTTTATTGATTAAGGAATTTTACTTCCAAAAACCCCTTAATTTCCCTCAAACTATTAGTAATGGTCATGGGTATCTACATGGTACCTATTTGGCATTACCATCGCTGTATTTCCACATCCTTCTGTCTTATATATTCCATTCCATTGTCCTCACCAAAACGCTTACGTGATTCTCATTTTAGACATGCCTTTCTTAGCTTTTGGACTTTCCAACATCTCTTCAGAGTACCTTGTGGTCTCCTTCCTATCGGATTTCCCTCCCATTTTTCATATACGGTGCTTGATTCTTTTCTTCCGATGGTGTGGCTGATCTATCTCAGCTTATTACTTCTAGTTACTGTCTCCATCCGTGACTTTTTGGAAAGTTCTCTAATTTACTGATTGTGCTTTATCCTCTTTGTATCCAATAATATTTCGTAAAATTTTGTTCTCGAAACTGGTTATTTTTCCCTCTTTTTCTATCTCTAATTCAGGTTTCAGCTCTATGAAGGACGACTGGTCTAAAGGATTAAGAATAACAAATAGCATGTCTTCGTGAAAACTGATAGAATTCATATGCCCCATTGGAGTGTAAGCCTCATCCGGCAAATAAAGGACATGAACCAATAGAAGGATTTCCCCTTAGATTACTCATAAGGACCCATACAAAAAAAAACGATAATGAAGTGAGATATCCCTTATAAGCTATTCATAAAAACATTACGAGAAAAACCTAACAAATATGTATAACTATTCACAAATAGCTAAGCAATCTCACCATAGGGGTTTGATATCGGACAAACATCAAATACGATATATTAGACAAACTCGTGGTTATCTGCCAGTGTCATATTTAAAAATTATTTTTTCTGGTGTTTAGTAATTAGTTAATGCAATAGTTTAAGCCAATTTTGTT